TACACTGCCCCTAGCATGACAGGTCTTGGCTGCTAGATGAGAAGTGGAAAGGAAGACCATAACCTCCTGCTAGAGTGCTGCTGGTAGGAAATGCAAGTTCATTCACCTGACTTGGATTTCTCAGTACATCCCATCTTATTTTTAATGTGTGTGTGATTGATAGAGGCTGAATCCAGGGAAGCACTGGAAAGAACACAGCCAAGTGTTGAGCAATGAAGCACTGTATTAGCATAATTAGCAAAGCAAACATAGAACTCTTGATTATTTTCCTGTCATCCATCCAGTCACTTTTCCACCTGACACCTTTGGTGCCTCAAAGAACTCCAATGTAGACTGACCCCTTATCCAGAAATCCGTTTAAGGTATATCTAGGTTCCAAGGAGCTCTGGTGGTGTAGCACCTAGGCACTTAACTGCTAACCAGAAGGCTGGTGGTTCAAACCCACCAGGTATCCTTCGGAAGGAAGACTGGGCAATCTACTTCCATAGAGATACTGCCTCGGAAACCCAAGGAGGGGTCGTTATGAGTCAGAATCAACTGGACAGCAGTGAGTTTGGTTTGTTTTTGGAAGGTAATAGTGAAGGAGCTCTGGTGGTGTAGTGCCTAAGGCATTTGACTGCTAACCAGAAGGTTGGCAGTTCAAACCCACCAGTCCTTCTGAGGAAGGAAAATGGGGCATCTTTATAAAGATTTACCACCTCCCAAACCCAATAGGGGTCACTGTGACTCAGAACCGATTCAATGGCAATGAGTTTGGAAAGTAATAGTGAAGGAATGCTGGTGGCACAGTCATTGAAGTTGGCAGTTTGAATTCTCCATGTGCTCCATGGACGATGTGGCAGGCTGCTTCTGTAAAGGTTATAGCCTTGGCAACCCTATGGAGCAGTTCTACTCTGTCCTGTAGGGTCACTAGGCATCAGAATCCACTCGACAGCAATGGGTTAACAGCAAGCCCTCATTTTTTGATTTCTCACTCCCTGTACCATCAATTCTATAGGCAGTAGCCACATGAGGCTGTTTAAATTGCAATGAATTAAAAAGTAAATGGAAGATCCAGTTGCTCAGCAACAGTAGTCACATTTCAGGTACTCAATAGCTACATGGGGCCAGTGGCTATAAGGGGTTGTACACATCTGAACATTATCATCTTCAGAGTAAGCTCTACTGGATGGCACTGCTTATAGGCAGAGAAAGACCAAGTCACCCAAGTTCTTACAAATGAAATTTAAACTGACATCTCTGGGACCTTGACATCTGTGAGGACCTTGTTGGATTATTTCTCTCTGGATAGTATCTTAATGTGAAGATACTATTGCCTCCAGATGCAAATTATCTGTCATCTTGGTTGGCCTGAACTAGTAAGGTCATCAGAAGATCCCTTAGTATAAGCTGGTATACAATAGTGCTTTAATTTCTAGTCAATCAGCTATCACTATCATGAAGGTGATAGCTGTTTAACAAAGTATTTTACATTATTTTCTTGGTATGGTTGTCTTTAAATATTTTAATTAAGTAGGATTAACAGCACTATAATAGAAATTCTATTTTGTTTTTAGGTCAACATTATTTTGTTATTACTCTGCACCCAAACTGAATTTGAGGGAAGATAGCTTAAATGTATTTACTAGCAGAGAAAAAGGAACTTTTATTTTGAATAAATAAAATGGTAAGATTAAGAACTGATCTGACAAGGAAAATAAGACTAGGGAGGATAATAATAACAGTAGTAATAACAGCGCTTACATACTGCTTACTATGTGCCAGGTATGTTCTAAGTGCTTGACATAGAAAAAAATAAAACCAAACCCAAATCCATCACCGAGTCAATTCTGATGCACAGCAACCTCCATTGGGTTTCCAAGGCTGTAAATCTTTACAGAGATAGATTGCCTCATCTCTCTCACGTGGAGCAGCTGGTACGTTTGAACCGTCAACCTTTTCCAGTTAGCATCCAAATGCTTTACTCACTATGCCACCAGGGCTCTTTGCTTTACATATATTGATTCTGTATTAATTCACTCAATCTCACACCTAGCCTATGAAGTACTACTATACTTCGCTATCTTAGAAATCAGGGAAGTGAATCATAGAGAGATTAATCGTCCAGGGCCACAAAGTTTGGTAGAAAGAAGATTATCTGAAGTGGGGTAGTGTGGCTCCAGAGGCTGTGTCCTTAGCCACCATGCTCTACTGAAAAGCCACTAAGCACTGAGAAAAATTAGTCCTGTCTTCCTAGATTCAATCAGCTACTGTCCTTTTAGCTATTATTTCCAAATTCAGGGAGCATGATCACTTCATTAGTATGCAGATCTTTCTTTTCTGCATCTTTTTTTCCTCACTCATTAGTCTAGTGTTGAAATTGTAAGCACACAGTTTTCCCTCACCTCAAATAATTATTTCACAGCAGATGCCAAAAATGAAGTAAACATAATACTAAACATAAGATCAGACAGAATTCTCATCCTGGAGTTAACAGACATACTGAAATATTTCATCTTTTTGCTTGAAAAGTTATTTTCAAACTCTGAACTACTTGGGCTTGTAATTCCCTTCCAAGTTTGAGGTCTCTGTGTGGCAGGCAAATGGTTTGTACCTAGCTGCTAACTGGAAGGTTGGCAATTCAAACTCACCCAGTGACACCACAGGAGAAAGGCTTGCTGTTCTGCTTCTGTAAAGATTACATACAGCCAAGAGAGTAAGGAGGGTTGTGTGACTTGAAGAACATGACCAACGTCACTGATCTGTACATGTATAAATTCTTGAAGTGGTGTATACTCTGCTGGGTATATCTTTTAAAAAAAGCTTATAGCCAAGAAATCCTTATGAAGCAGTTCTTTGTAACACACAGGGTCACGTGAATCAGAAGCAATTTGACTGCAATGGGTCTGTGTTTTATTTCTTCCCTCCAGGTTTGTGTAAGGGGCCTAATCTAAGAGTTTACAACTACAGCTATTAAGAACCATCTTTTCAGAAGACAAAATTCGGGAAGGTCTCAAAGGGAATTGGAGGTTTACAGGATGGTTTGCTCTCCTAGAGAACTCTACCTTGAAACAATACCAGAAACCTGATACCCACACTCTAAAATCTAATTCTGAAAACAATAACTTAATTACAAACAACTGAGAGAAGACAACTTAAATGTATTTACTAGCAGTATGAGACGGAGGGAATTAATAGAGAATCAATATATGTAAAGAGCTCTGGTGGCATAGTGAGTGAAGCATTTGGATGCTAACCAGAAAAGGCAGTTCAACCCACCAGCCGCTCAATATTAAGAAACCTTTTTTTTTTTTTGATCTTTAGACTTTCAGTCATCTGATAATAAACTCTAGACTGGAGTCAAGGTCTAGCCTAATTTAGTCATTTTATAGACAAGGAAATTAAGCCTTAGAGAGATAAAGTGACTTTCCCAGGTCACAGAGCTAATTCATCAGAGCCAACAGGAGAACCCTGGCTTTCTGAGGCAGCTCTTTACCCATTCACTAAAAGGGCAAGGGGATCTGCAAACATCTCTGTACTGCTCTGGGAATTCTCCTAAGGCCTTTGTACCCAGACACCATTATGACTGTACAGACTGTGTCCTGTGTACAACTGGGCTGCATCTACAGGCTCTCATTCACAGTGGACACCAGAGGTTTACACCTTTTATGATGATGTCTGGCCACGGGCAGTGGTGTTGAGTTGGGGCAATAGCTCACAAAGCCAAGTGATCCTGGAGGAGCCTAAGTTGCCAATCACTTCTCATTCTTACAGGCCACATACCAAGGGGGAAAAAATAAAAACTTCATATTTTTCTTTTAAACTCTATCCCTCCTTTGAATTTGAAGAGAAAAAGGCAAAACAAGCAAAGAAATTTAGATTTATTTAAAAAGCAAAATTCCAGGGTATGAGCCCTGCTTCATCTTGAGAGCTGCATCTGGAAGTCACTGTATCCAATTGCCTATATGTCATCAACATCTGCAATCCTACGATCCCTGATGTTTAGAAATCATGGCCCCAAAATATTAAGTAATCCCAAATCAAGAAAGAAAGGTTAAATTATATCTAACACACTGTGTTAAGGCAAGAACGTATATTATTATACTTTTAAATGGTTTCCAACCAATTATTAAAATAGAAAGAAAAAAGGGGTTTTCTGGTTAACCAGAAAACTCAAGTCCCTGAGCATCCCAACTACTTGAGTTTGAGTTATAAAGAGACCGTTTCTTACTACACAATCAAGTCTAGTTATGTAACTCACCAAGTAGAAACCAAACCAAATCAAAGGAAAAGATCGGTCTCCAGCCTTTAAAAATATTAAGATATTAACTGTGAATGATATTTTTCACTTTTAGAAAAAGTATAAGAAGTGTAGATTATACAGTCACACACATATTAGGAAAAAACCAATTCATTAACCTCTAAACTTTCTATGTAATTGCTAGCTGCCCTCTTGGGTCAATTCAATACTAAAACTGTAAATAAGACTGCTTTAGCACAGGAAGAGATAGTTACGTCCTTGAAATAGGATGTTTCAATTCTGTTGGATTGTAGGTTCTCACAATGCAGAAAGAAGGCTGGACGTTCCAGGGGACTCCTTCAAGTTCATTTATGGAACAACTCAGTTTCTACTACCATGGATAAGGCTTGCACTCACTAGTCAGGACTTTGTAATGCTTAGCTTAGAATCGACTGGATGACAGTAGAAAAGCGTGGAATTTCAGGTCTGTGTCAGGCAGCAAAGGATGTATTCTGGTGAAGAAACAAGTCAAGTTTACTAATTTAATGACCCAAATATAGAATTATATTCCTGAAAGAAAAAGAAAAAACTCAGCAACAAAAAGCAATAAAGCAACAAAAAGCAATAAAGCAACAAAAAGCAATAATGCAACAAAAATGTTCAATATGAAGAAAGGATTCAGGTTAAAAGGAACAAGGAAAGAATTCTTTCTGGATAAGAACCCAAATATTTCTCACACTAAATTAAAAAACAAATAAACAAACAAAAACAACCAAAAAACCCAGTATATGACATTACAAAAATCAATGAATAAATGGATTCTACATTTTAACTTTCATATCTTAATCCACATGAAAAAACAAATTCTTTGCCAATTTGATCAATCCTTTTAAAGTCCATTATGCATTCATCACATAGCTAAAATCGTGTGTAGGCATTTCGTTGTTGTTGCTGCTGTAAAGGTTGCTGGGCTTGCTGCTGCTGTAGGCGAATTTGCTGGGAATAAGGATCTTCCAGGGATTTTACAAATATGGTAGTTCTGGGACCAGTCTTCCATACAATACCATTGGCATCTTTCACTGAAGATTCCACTGTAATGTTGTGTGTTCCAAGGATAGCAAAGTTCAACAGAAACTGAGTACTGAAGTAATCATTATGAGGTTCAACTCTCTGCTCCATCTCATTGGTCATGTTGTCAATGGGTATCTGCAAGGAAAGAACTGTTAAGTAATAACAAAAGCTAGTATTCAATGGGTGCTTACTATGGACAAAGGAGCCCTGGTGGCACAATGCTTAGCTGCTAACAGAATTGTTGGCAGTTCAAACCTACCCAAAGCTCTGTGGGAAAAAGATGGGGCAATCTGCTTCTGTAAAAATTTATGGCCTTGGAAACCCATGGTGCAGTTCTACTTTGCCCTATAGGGTCACTAAGAGTCATAACTGACGCAACAGCAGTGGGTTGGTTTTTTTTTTTTTGGTACTACGGGCCAACTAAATCCTTGCAAGAATCAAGAACCAAGAGGTAGGAGCTCTTATTCTTGCTTTATAGATGAGGAAATACAGGTAGAGGAATTAATTTCTCCATGGTCCAGGAGCTGCAAAGTTGGCATGTGAACCCAGGCAGGCTGACTCCAGAGGCTACTTTTCATCATTAAGCTCTTCACTATGCTTGAATATAATGCACTTCCACAGCCCATCTGCCTCCAACTTTAACCCCTATCTTTCTTTAGTTTGTGAAGAGATATTCTGAAGAACAGGATGGAACCATCTGTCTCAGGGAGTCTAGAATCTAAGACACTAACAAGAGCATAATGGTAAATCAAAGGTAGGTTTTTTTTTTCTCTCCAGTTGGTTTGGTTTTACATTAGTTATTTAAATAATGTAGGGATTCCTCCCTTCCTTAAGTTAATTTTAGAACTTGTACACTGCTTACTGAATATAGGCAGTTCCCAGTTATCAATGCAGTCCATTCCTAACTGTGTCTTTAAGTGGAATTTGTAGATGAGTTCGTACAGGTGCACACTGTTCTTTAGTTTAAGAAAAAGCTTGAAGACTTAAAACCTGCATGTGCAACAAGGGAAGGTGATTGTGATGAACAATTTGTTGCTAGTAGGGATTGGTTCAATTGTTTCAAAGTGAGGGAATATTTACTACATAACATTAAAGAAGGGCTTGGAAGCATGAGCAAGCACAGTCTAAACAATGCTGCCCTAGTCAGGTGGTGGCTGACCTCGCCTGCTTTGAATCTGTGTGACTCTCCACAGTCCTGCTAATAATCCAATCGTATGCATCATGCTCCTGAGACCGTTCACTATGCCCTTTTCCAAGTATCCCACTCCAGGGCTGTGACCTGTAACTTTTCCAACTGTGGTTACTGTGACAAATCATCTGAACTGTAAACAGTCAGGTCTGTTCCTGTTTTACTTCAGTGGCCATGACAGAACCAGTTCAAAGCCCTGCATTAAGGGACAAGCAGGGGTTTCCTAAAATCAGTGTCTTATTCAGACTGGTAGCATATAGCATGTTATAAAACACAGATTCATTTACTTAGCCAGACACTCCTGCCTTTGTCCTGCTGGCGTATCTTTCTCCTATACCCGAGATGAAGCATGTCAAGACACAGCCTTACTCTGAGAATGCAGATAAAGGTAATCTTAATGAGTATCTGATCAGACTGCTCTATGTGTATGCTGTGTAATTAATTATATAAATTTGCCTAGAGCTTCATGTCTCAATCAGCAGTTATCATAAGGCCACTTTTCCAGAGGCATTTCCCTATAAAATTAACATTTACCAATAAACACATGATCTAATTATTTATGGTATACCAAAAAAAAAAAAAAACAAAAACCTAAAGCCACTGCCATTGAGTCGACTCTGACTCATAGCTACGCCCAGTGGGTTTTTAAGGCAATCAGTCTTTATGGAAGTAGATTGTCCAGTCTGTCTTCCACAGAGCGGCTGGTGTGTCTGAATGACCAACCTTCTGGTTAGCAGTTAGATGCCTTAGTCACCATGTTACCAGAGCTCCTTTATTTATGGTAATAGGGACATTTTTTTGAAAGCACACTTAACTTTTATAGGTTTTTTTTATTTCCCTGGAGAATATGCCTACTACGCAAGAGCTTCCTTAAACAAAAGGGCCAGAAACTGGTTTAAGGAACCTGATCATACTGAATGGATGGCTGCCGTTTATGCTGCAAAATCACTGTAACATTACAAAGCAATACTCTGCTGGCTGGCTTATCACATCAGCTTTGTGACTTTCACCAATGCTTCTTGAGAGGTAAGTCAACAAGCTTATGACCAGTGTTCCTAGGTTTGAATGATTCTTTCTTAACAGGAGAAATAATTATACACAAGGGAGAAAAAGATAATCATGGTTACTGTTTCATATTCAAAGTGAGCACAAAGAGCTGAAGACAGATCGGCTAGATAAATTCTCATTACAATCTTCTGTGACAACAGAGATTACCTGACCCTAACAGATGTACTCTAAATATAGTAAGTGCTCAATATATGCTAGTTGATATTTTCCCATTTACCAAATTTTGAGTATTGGGAAAATGGAAAAGCAGTCTATCACACAGCCTTCTGATCCCTACCTGGACTGGACTGCCTAATCAGAAGTCTTGGGCCTGGAACTGAGTCTTACCCTCTTCCAGTTTCTTCTCCTTATCAGAAGAACCTCCTTCCTTGTTCTGGGTACGCAGTAAACTGTCTTTTCTCTGCTCATGCATGAGGGCCATTTGGCACCTAACCAACCCCATTTCTGTATCTGTTCCCAGTGCGAAGGGAATGAGGTCTCTCAACTGAGCACGAGAAGGGTGCATGAAGACTGCCAGCCCTGCATCAGCTGTGGGGAGTGACCTGCTGGCCACCGGTGTGCCTATAGGTGAAGCTGACCTTCTAGTAGCTCTTCTCTAAGTAGTAGTATTGCATTGTGTAAGTTATGCCTTCTATTTGACAACCCAGGACCTTGGCTTGACAGTTTGGTGCAGTGAGCAGGATCACCAACAAAGTACACACATCATGGCACAGTGAAGACACAGGGGCTCACTGGTCCAGTCATGACAGATTGTGCTAGCACTCCAGAGGGTGAAAAACTGACTAGACTAAAATGCCAGTCTCCCTCTGGCCTGATGAGGACAAACGCAATGTAGACCCCATAATGTCCCAAGGGTTACACGTGGTACCTGATGGTATTCTGGGATCCCTGTACAGAGAGGTCTGCCTAGTCCAGGTTGTTCGCGAGCCTCAGGCCACAGGGCATCCTTGAAATACACTAGCAGAATGCCAGTGGGTTGTTTCCAACAGAGGAATGCAAGACATAGGGAAACCACTGCTCAGAGCCCTCCAACAATGGGAAGAGGATGGCTGGAGGGGCTCCAACGAGCTGAGTAACTTTAAGTAGCTCCTTGGTGCTAGAAATACCCTTAACATTTTATATGGAAGCAAATGGTTGGAACTTCAGAGAAAGAAAGAGTACAAAGCCCTCAGAGATTGCTTAGCCCAGTGGCCTTAAAGAAACTTAAAGACTTAAATCCTCTCCAGAGGAGTAACACCTATGTAGGGTGCATTAGTATAAGCACCCTCCTTCAAGGTGCTCTGACAGCAGCCTCCAGGACAACAGCAGCAGCAGTAGTGGCAGTAATACCACAGTTGCAGTGGTGAGTGGAGGGGGTGGAGATGGGCCACCTCTATGTTATTCACAACCAGAGACTCATATTGCTCACACTTGCCATGAGGGCATGCACAAGAGAGACGGCACCTCCAGTTTCAAAGAAGACCAGCAGAGGAGGAACAATGAGAAGACGGTACCAGGTTGTTCTCTGTGTACCTCTACTGCTGCCAGGCACAACACAGCTGTGGAAGGGATGTCTGTGCTTGCACAGCTAATACTGTTCCCGGTGCCATACCCTCTGGGCAGCAGCCGAGGTACTGTTCCAACTGGCCTAAGCCACTCTGAGTCTAGGCCTGGCTAGTGACTTCACCTGTCTCTCTGCCCCCTCCTCAAAAAGCGTATGGCCAGATCGTGGTGGACAGCCCCTGCTGGCATCCACATGGTGCTGGCCTGTGTGACTGGTATGAATTGTTTCCTCCATTCCTCATGGTGGACCAGGGGATGGATGTAAGGGCCCTGTCTCCTAGATCTCTTGGAAATAAACAGGTCTAGGGATTAATCCAATGTTCCACTGTTAACAGGGGGACCAAAGACCCTATGACAAAGTTAAAGTTCAATGAGGAGATGAGAAAAGTTGCATTTCCTGAATTTAGACACTGGTATATAGGTGACTGTAATCCCTGTAACCCCTGGCATCAAATATGGAAGGAGAAAAAAAAAAAAAAAGGTGTTTTCTGGTTTTCGCTCTGAGGCTACCATCACTGGGACTCTTGCCCAAATCTAACTATGCAGGAATCCCTTCAGGGCCTTTACAACCCTCTATTTATGACCCCCACTACTGAATGTATTATTGGTATTGATTTATGTTTATACACACCTCTGCTAGCTTTGCCTCCAAGCTCTTCCAGAAATTGTTGCAGCCAGGGCCACCTTAGTGGAGCATATGGAAGACTGAATCTACTTGACTCATGGGCTATAGCTAACAGGCTGGTTGTTTGATTGGGTCACTGAGAAGCCTCTGACTGGCATATAAAACAAGCCCTCTCAAAACAAGCCCCCTCTGCAGATGAGACATTTAGAGACAAATCAATTCTGCTTCTGATAATCTTTTGCTACACTGAGGCCAAAATGTACTGAAAGCATACTTAGACACCATCCTGGACTATGCCTATGTGCAGACTGACATTGTCATAAGATGCTGAAAAGCATGGAAAAGCTGTCTTGCCTAAGAAACCTAAGCCAAGGCTAAAAACAGTGCCCTGGGACTCCCAAACCAACAGGCTGAGGCACGCTTAAGTGAATCACACTGGGCCTGCTGTCCCATGCAGAGGCTTCCACAGGGTCCTGGATGGACTCATTACACTCCATATCACCCCTAAGCTATAGAAAAGACTGACTGCTTTAGTGGACAATTAAAGGACATACTTAAATGGCTGATGGGAGGAGGCAAGATAACACCAGCTTGAACTACACATCTCAGGCAAGCAGCTGGAGGTCTCAATGCAACAGTTCCCCAAGAGGGCACTTATCATTTGTACCATGTTAGATCAGGCTATTTTTCTGTATAATACTCTTGTCCTTT